ACTTTTGAACTATAAACATTTTCTGACTCAGCTCGACAAACTGAATCAGATAATGACTAAATTTTTCAAAAGTTGTGCCATGAGGACGGCTGCAATAGTTAGATTTTTATGAAATCTACTAAAAACACTTAAATTAAACCATCTTACACGTCTAAAAATCATTTAATGTTGCTATTAAAAAAAAAAAATACGTTTAAAAAAAAATTTTAGACTGCGGGCGCATATAACGAGAAAAACAAGCACGCAATTTATTATTTTCTTAAAAAATAAAATAAATAAATAAGGCGCGCAGTAGCCTATCGGATCCGGCCCTTGCTTACCAAAGCATTGGACCGGGTTCGAGTCCGGCGTACACCAATGAATATTTTCAATATTTAAGTGTATTATACTGCTCAGCCCAAGAAATAAAACGAGTTCCAATCTCAAAAGTTTACCCCCTACTGTAGTCGCTCATGACCTTAGTAGTTTATGCGACTTTAAACAAATTAAGAAAAAAAAAAATAAATAAATATTAAAAATAATTATTCATCTTAATTTTTCACTATTATTATTTTTAACCTTAATACTACCCTAAAAATTAATTTTTAATTTTTTAATTAAATTTTTTGTATTCGTTCATATATTTTACCTGTTATAAATTTTTCACAGGTCCTGACTCTTCAAATAATAGTTTATAGGTGCCTTAGATACAATAAATAAATTAAATATATCCACATGTATGTGATCTTTGGTTTTTAAAATTAATGTTAAAACCACACGGATCCTCAATAGCTCACATTATGTTTCACCACAATAATACCCTTTGTCATGTATAATATTTGGACATTAAATATAAATACCGTAATAAAAATACAAACAATAAAATAATTCAACTTTTAAACAGAAAAAATAACTTTTTGCACTTGGAAAATTTTAAAAAAGACAAAAATTATTTTGGAGCAAGAAGAAATTTTCACAATAAAAAATTTAGTGTTAAATATTTTTTAATTAAATATTTAACACTTTTATTAATAAATTTAACAATTATTCCTTTAAATCAACACAAAAAAGTGTTAAATATTTAACGCTAAATTTTTTACTGTGTTTTTGGCTCAAGAAAATTTGACTTAATTCAATAAATTTTTAATCTTCCTTAATATTTTAAGACAAAAAAATTTACCCTCTATAGTCAAAATAATTTTTTTTTTTTTAAATATAACTTGTTAAATTTTAAGAGTAAATTTACTTTAAAGTAAAAATATTAATTAGTACCTTTTACAATTTGTAGAAAAATAAACAGACTTTGTAATAAGGCCAAATGTCAAAAGATCTAAATGATGATGATGATTGTTGTTATTATTATGAAGATTATAAATTACAAATGAAAATAAGAATAAGATGTTGAAATTTACGAGGATTGAGGATTGAGGATTGTGAGGGGTGAAGAGGATAGGAGGTCCGCGATGAGGATCGCAGGCGTTTGTGGAGGCCAACCTCCAACAGGCTCCGCCTCTAGCCGCGTGACGTCAAACAGACACTTGTTACGCCTTGGTCCAGCTCCAGACTTGCTTCTTCTCCAGCTTCTCCAACAATATAGATATGTACAAGCTGATAGAAGGTATAAGACTCTTATTATAAATTCGCTAGATTTTATATTAGATTTTTTTATACACAATTTTGAGAAAATAATATAAATATATTTATAGCAAAATTATTTTGGTATTTAATTGCGGAGCACCGCTGCCGCGATTATGAGTTATCAATGCTATGCCAAATAAAATAGCGGGCCCACCGTGGGAATTTAGTGATATGAATATTTTTACTAGGATATTTATTGATAAAATTATGATAATAGTTTTTTTAGATTTAATAGTTCTTATGGATTATTATTATTTTATAATTTGATATTGAAGATTTTGATTAAAAATTTTTAAATAATTGAGTAAAATTTATGAATCAAATATAAGCCGACATCTGAATTTTTATAATTTTTTCGTGAGAAAAAATTATAAAACAATTGCAATAAAAAATTTCACTTGTAAATTTGAAAAATTATCCTTGCAATTTTTTAAAAATTTTTTTACTTGCAATTTTAGTGAAAAAATACAAAAATTCTTGGCTAATTTTAGTATCACGTAAAGTTTAATTATTTTTCAATAAACATTTATATTTTTCCATTTAAACATAAAATATTTCGGACTAAGAAATAAAATCTCTCTTACACAAGAGCTAAATTTTAACTAACTCCAAAACAAAATAATTAAACTCTCTCGAAGATGTTGTTGGCTTTAGACAATCCGACAGCAGCGCCGCCTCAAGATTCCCAAAAAAAAAAAAAGACACATTACTAATATATCAACAGACTGAGCGTGAGTTCGCTTACGCTGTGATTGCTAAGTGGTAGCACTCCCGACTAAAAATTATTTTGGGAATACCCAAGGTACCCATCTGGGCCCCATTGGGTTTCAATGGGGCATGCCCAATAGGGAAATCCCAATGAGGACCCAATGAGAACCAAATTGGGAATTCCCAATTAAAAAGGAAATAAGTTTATTGTCAATTTCTCTAGTTGGGATTCATGTAGGATTTAAATGGGAATACCCAACGTGGAAATAAAAAACTTTTGGCATTTTTTTCCAGTTGGGATTCATGTGGGACCAAAGTGGGAATGCCCAATGTGAAATAACAAAATTTTTACGAGTTTTCTTCTAGTTTGGATTCATATGAGACCACAGTGGGAATATCTAGGGTGAAAATGGAAAACTATCAGTTTTTCAATTCATCACTTGCAAATGCATTATGTGATTATTAGCATATATTTGCTGTAAATTAATTAGGAATACAAATAAAAATTAGCCGTTATAAGTATAGAAAAGAATAAGGAAAAAAATTAATTCAACATTGTTAAACAAAAACAATTAAATTTAGTTAAGCTTTTTCAAATTTTACATAACTTTATGTCTTAAAAAATTTAGTTTTACGAGATTAAAAATAAATTGTAACATATTGGGATGAATTCGAAAAAAATTTTAATCAGAATTAAAATTTAATCCCATCACTCGGAGTTTCGGAGTGAAGTAATTAAGCAATTCGCGCACGGAGTGAATCCGGAGTTTTTTAGCAGCGTCATCCCAGATTAATTTGGGATCAATTTCAGATTAAATCCAAATACTAAGTTGTTAGACTGAAATACATTTTTAATGTTGTTGAAACGAGATTCATACGTAAATTTTTTTCTTTTTACGACAAAAAAAAATTTTCACTGAAAAAAAATTTTTATTTTCAATATGTAAAAATTCAATTTTTGAAGAATATCCAACTTTTGAGGAGATTCACATTTGCAAAAGAATTTGCGTTATAAAAAAAATTAAAATTTTTGATAATGAAATTTTTATCCATATAGGAAAATTTGGTAATTACTTACAAGTGAGGTCAACCCAAACTAAGCTGTGTTAAATTTTTTTTT